TGTTAATGTTTGTATGTCAAATGGTACTCCGGTACGGCATATCCCTCTATGTTAATGGTTGTATGTCAAATGGTACTCTGGTATGGCATACCCCTCTATGTTGAAGAAATGTTCGTATGTCAAATGGTGCCCTCGGGTATGGCATACCCCTTCATGTCAAATGGTGCCTTCGGCTACGACATGTATGAAAAGTTATAAAGTTAATGTTTTGAAATGTATAGCTTGATCACGAATGCACCTATGACACCTATTGAGTTTTTCAACTCATGAGTTTAACCCCATCTCTACAGATTGAAGGAATTCTACCTCGGGCATGGATGGAGGAGAAGATGGAGAGTGATGCAACGAGCCCATGGAAATCCGGTGAATAAGTGATTTGGATTTATTTTTATGAAATGTTTTCCAATGTTATTTTTTTAAAGTTTTGAATAAGTAGAATGCGAGAACAAGTTTTTTTTTCAAATAAATTACATTTTGTTGTTTCGAAAAATGATTCAGTGTTTTTGTTTAAAGTATTTGAAGTATTGTTATTTAAATTATTATCCGAAGATGTAAGCTTCCGCTAAAACGTATACACTTGTTACTAAACCACCGGTTAAGCTAAGTAAAGTAAGTAGTGTTCCAGTCCACTAGGGGTCAGGGCATTACAATGAAGTAAATGGTAGCCAAGTCGGCCTGTCGACTAAGAGCATCAACAACATGATTACTAGATCCCGGACGATACTCTAGCATAAAATTGAACTCTGAAAGAAATTCCTGTCAACGAGCCTACTTGCTCGATAGTTTTGGTTGGGACATGAAGTGACTAACTGCAGTGTTATCTATCTTCACAATAAATGGAGACCTAAGCAAATAGTGAAGCCATCCTCTAAGACAATGGACTACTGCCAACAATTCCTTTTCATGTGCCGAGTAACAGCATTCTATTTGGTTTAACTTTCGGCTCTCATATGCTACTGGATGTCTTTCTTGCATAAGGACTCCACCAAGTGCAAAATCTGAAGAATCTGTATGAACTTCAAATGGTTTAGTTGTATCCGACAAGGCTAAAATCGGGTTCGTCCACATGAATTTCTTCAACTTTCAAAAGTAGTTTGCCATTGAGACGACCAATCCCAATCCTTATCCTTCTTTGTCAATTCGGTAAGTGGTAGTGTAATTTCTGAGTAACCTTTCAAAAATCTTCTGTAGTAATTGCATTACCCAAGAAATGAACGTACATTATGTACAGTTTTTGGTGGTTGCCAATCTTTGATGGCTGTAACCTTCTTCGAATCCATGCGGATTTTACCTTGCTCAATGATGTGACCCAAGAAACTGATGGATATTTGAGCAAATGAGCATTTAGACGATTTAGCATAGAGTTCATTCTACCGTAGCTGATTAAAAACTTGCTTCACATGTTGGACATGTTTCTCCAATGTCTCGTTGTAGATTACTATCTCGTCCAAGTACACCATAACAAAATCATCTAAGAACCCGTGAAGTACCTAATTTATCATAGTATAGAAAGTTGCTGAGCATTTGTCAAACCAAAAGGCATCA